GGACGCCCAGCGTGGCGGCGGAGGGCCCGGAAAGCCCCGTGGCGAAGCTCGCAGAGCCTGCCCCAGCGGGTCCGGGGGAGCCAGGGCCGGGCTGCGCCTGGGCTGGCGTCCGGGGATGCTCGGGAGGAGCCGAGTGCCGAGCGCGCCTGGGGCCCTGAGGATTGGTTCGGGCGACTCCAAGGGGATCCACGAAGATCCGAGGGACCCTGCCCCACCCCTCCGGGGACCGGAGACCAACAGCGAGCTCAGAGGGAGCTGGACACCGAGGACAGGCCGCCCATGCCGGGGAGCCGAGTCCTCGCCGCCCCGGGGGCCACTGAAGGGTAGAGACACACTAGTAGGGGGCCAACTGGGAGTGACTTCGGAGCGCCCCCAAGTCCTGCCAAGGACGGTAGGTTCACCGAGCGGGGGACGCTCTGACGCGGCGTCCTCCGGGGAACTGTGAGGAGTCCACGGAGCCCCAACCAGAACGGGGCAAGGGGCAGAGCTCTCGGCTCGCAGGGTCCCAGAGCGGGACCGCCCCGGCGGCGGGGCTCCGGAGAGGTGGCTGCGTTAACGACCCTTACCGGCTGGCAGAACGCCGGGGACGTGCAGGCTAGTTTCTGAGGGTTGCCTAGAGGAATGCCCTTCCCTTCACAGTGGGGGCGGGGCTGGAGGTGATGCGGGCTGAGCTGGGCCTGGGAGCTCCCTAGTCCAGGAGGCTCTAATGCCCCTTCCCGTTGCAGGAGGACCCCTGGGGCACGGAGCAGAGCGCATCCTGGCGGTGCCCGTGCGAACAGACGCCCAGGGCCGCTTGGTGTCTCACGTGGTGTCGGTGACGACCGCCCAGACCGGGGTTCGGGCCCGCAGGGCTGCCCCAGTCCAGACCCAGGGCTTCCCTGGAGGCAGTGAGGAGGACCCTGATCACCACCTATTCTACAATGTCACTGTCTTCGGCCGAGACTTGCACCTGCGGCTGCAGCCCAACGCTCGCCTCGTGGCGCCTGGGGCCACGGTGGAGTGGCAGGGAGAGTCCGGTGCCACCCGCGTGGAACCCCTGCTTGGGACCTGCCTCTACGTTGGAGACGTGGCCGGCCTGACTGAAGCCTCCTCCGTGGCACTCAGCAACTGCGATGGGCTGGTGAGTAGGCACTTCTCCCTCCCTTTCTGTCCATGGTTCTTGTCTGAGCTTCAGAAGCCTGTTACCTGGGTGCCGCCTGGGAAGGGAAAGCCTGCACTGAGGACCTTCTCTGCTTAGAGATGTGAGGCATGGACTAAAGGGGTTGACTGGAAGGCAAGTTATTTTGATTGGCAGGAGAGGGGTGATTTATCTAGGTGGAGGCCTAGGGTCTCCAGTGCACTGATCAAGTAGCCATGTGTCTCCTTTAGGCCTGGGGGCACAGGTCTTGGCTTGGCACCCAGGTGTGTGTATATGTCTGCGAGTGTGCACATGAGTTTGGAATGCCACTGTGTACTAGTGCCTAGGTACTTGTGCACCTGTGTTGTGTGAACATGTGAATGTGCCATTGTGTATCTTGTCCACATATGTATCTCTAGGTTTCTGCTCATTCATGTCAGTTGAGTGTGTGACCCTGTGCATTTTAGTATGCGTGATATGTATGTATGGGGACACATGTGCTGGCAGTCTGTCTCCTTGTTTCTGTGTGTGCGGGTGGTGCCAGTCTAGGTGACAGGCAGTGGTGCTGAAATGCCCAGTTATCTCTCTGCCCTCTGACTAACCGGGAGCCACTGATTTTTATGCTGTGGTTTCCTGTTGAACTTTAGCTGGTTATTTGAAAAGTCAGTTTTCTCTTTCTATTTTGAGCCAAGGGGAGCATTTGGAAATGCAGGCTCTGGGGCCCATGGGCAGCCCCTGAAGGACAGAAGGGAAGCTGGGGAGGTCCCCTCCTGGGGCTGCCTGGGCCACCAAGTGTGATTGGAGCCCTGGGAAGTTCTCCTATTTCGGGAAGTCCAGAGGGACCATGGCTTGGCATAAGAGCCTCAGAGGAAGCCTGGATCGATGCTCAGGGAGGAGGCTGACATTGGCGGTGCTCTGTCCGGCCACCTAGGGACCTGGCACACAGCAGAAGCCACTGCAGTTTTCTATTTTGGATAGGGTGTGTGGTGGTCAGGCTGGCTGTGCTGTCCAGTCATCTAGGCCGCCCATCAAAGGTTGTGCTCTAATTGCAGCTCAGAAGACTCCTGTTCCGAGGGAGTGGCCTTTCTCTCAGCCCTGCAGCCCCTGAGCCCGTCAAGCTCATCCTGTTAGCTGCAGAGCCAGTAATTACTCCAGAGCCCCGCAACCACTGGTATTCTTTTTATGGAGACACAGGAAATGTCACTTGTTGCTTTGGAAAATCACTGCCTTTGGCTGGATTTAGTTAGAACCTGGGCACATTGCAAGCAATTGTCAATGTCCTTGGAGGAGTTGGGCTAACATGGTGCAGCCCTCTTTGTACCTTTGTCTCTGAAAATGTCCCAGGCCTCACAGGTGTGTCTCATTTAACTGTGGAGGTGAATCACCTAAATTAAAGGAAATGGGTGCTGGAGACTTCAGGATGGGGTGAGTGGGCTGGGAAGAGGTGACATAGATTCAGTCTGTTGGTGGGCCAACTCCTGTATAGTTAATTCCCAATGGGAAGCATTTTAGGGATACTTTGTCACTGTGTCAGTCATCTGTTCAGTGATTCATTTGCTCAACCAGCATCTCTAGTGTGTTTGTCCACTGTGCTGGTCAGAGATAGGGCTGGCCTGGTGCCCCTCAGGCTCACATGCTCAGGGCAGCTGACAAGCTGAGGGGCACTCTGGCTAAGGCCTGAAAGCACACTTCTAGGGGCTACTTGAAGAATGCTTTGCCAGTGGGCAATAACACAGGTTGGCAATTCTAGCAGAGGGAAGAAGTACCAGGTGTGCATTGGCCCAGTCAGGGCAGGCAGATGTACTGGACACGCTTGCAGGGCTGGAAAGAAGACTGGAGTTGGAAGGAGGGGCTGGGTGGGGCCTCCCTGAATGGCCTTGAGTGCTGTCAGTGAGAAATGGCCTAGAGACAGTGGGGCTGCATCATGACTTCTCTTCTTTTTCTTTCTTTTTGCTGTGTGTATCTGTTCTGATCTTATACCAATTAATTTCTTAACTGTTAAAGTCCCTCTGTACATCAGTAATAGGCCCATATGCTAAGGGTTTCATGCATCAAGCCTCTGGTCCTCAACAGTGACCCTACAGGACAAGGGTCTTCATGCCTGGTTTACAACTGGGCAGCTGAGGCTCAGGCCCTGATGACCCGAGTCTGGCTTGATTTTCTCCAGCCCCTTCTTCCAAGTGTAGCTGGTGAAAGACACTCAGATGTGATAGCAGCTATACTTCCTGTGCACGCCCCCTCAACAGGCCTTCCACGGCTAAGTGCACAGCATCCTCCCAGCAGCCCTGGCCCTGAACCAACATGCCTCACATAGCCCCTTCCTCTGCAGCTCTTGCTTTTCCTTCATAGGTAGCAAAACACGCCCAAGCAGGTGTGGTGCAGATCCCCAAGGATCTTGTTAAAATGCAGATTCTGATTGAGCACCTCTGCATCCCCCTTCCCCCAAGGTTCTGAGCTTCTCATGAGCTCCCCGGCTGATGCTCCTAGGCCTCAGTCCACACTTTCAAAAGCAAGGCTCGGCAGCCCCATTTCTGCAAGGAGTTCTGCAGGCCTGCACCTCCAGTTGCTCTGAGCAAATAGGATTCAGTGGACCACCAGTGTGGGAAACTCTGCACCTTGCGTTCAGCTTGGGAGGTTCAAGGGGCCCGTGGGGCTCTTTGAGAATTTCTGTAATGAAGAAACCTCTTGAACTCTGTGAATTCAGCACTTCCCACACAGATGGGACCAGGGAACCCTGCTCTCAGAACATGTGGAACTAGCTTTCCTGGAAGACATGTGGAAAAACCATGGAGCAGGGCTCAGCAAGCAGCCGAGGTCTCACAGTGTAAGTTTAGATACTTAGGTAAGATCCGCCTCTCCCAAGAGTCACAGATCTTTTTAGGCCTTTTGCCCTGCCCTTGGATTGGGACATACATCTACTTGCCTGGTCCCCTGAGTTTGTTTCTCTGTTTTAAAAGAAGGCAGTAGTAGCTTTATTTACCACGGACAGCAGTCTCCTGACTTATTTATTATGAAGGGATTCTTATGTCACTATTGGTCAGGATCCTCTTAGCTACAAGTGACAGAAAACTCAAGTCAGATTAGTTTAAACAGAAATGGGAAGTTATTAGCTCACATAATGGTAAGTTTTTAGGCATGGCTTGATCTTGGTGCTCCCACCAGGTCATGAGGACCCTTGCTGTCTCTTGCTTCCACCTTCCTATGTGTTTGTTGCCTGCGTTCCCAGAGAGAATCCTTCTATGGCAAGTCAAGGGATCTCAGCAGTACCAGGCTGACATCTTTTTCTGATTATTCCAGTTGAGTTCTCAGTATCACTCTGGCCAAGCTGAGGTCAGATGCTCCCATGAGAATCAGGACATGGGGTTTGCAGAAACCCATAGATGGAGAGTGTAAGAGGTGCTGCTCCCACAAATGATGTGAGATTGGGACCCTGGGCCTGCCAATGTGCAAATTCTGTTGGAGTCAGGTAGAGATGGAGACATGCTTCATAAGACGTTGTGTCCTTTATTTTTGGAGAGACTGAGAAACAGAGAGTGCCCAGGTTCTTTCATAGCTGCTTGACAGAAGTTGTTCATAATATTTACAGGGAAAGGTTAAAGTTTGCCTTTTCATGATGCCTGAGGACATACTGCTTAGCAAAGTGTTCTTGTACATCCCATTGCTATGTAAGAATTTTCTGGTACTTCTTGGGCCATAGGACAGGTGTGCTGATCTCACATCATCCGTGTATGCTCATTAAACACCCAATGAGAAGGCTGTTGGCATAAAAAGTAATAATAGTCTATGACAGGTCACATGCCCCCACTCTGCGCCATGCTCCCTGCTGAGCACCTTATGCCGCATCTCCTTGTTTAATCCTCACAGCACCCCACGGCTGATGTCTGATGCTATCCCCATTCTACAGCTGAATAAGCCGAGGCTCCAAAGCCACAACAGTTCACTTCAAGCTTCACAGCCAGTATTGGAACGTGTGTCTGTCTGACTCCAAGACTGTATTTTATTGCCCTTTTGTTTTTTGCATGCCAACAAAAAGTACAAAAATGAAGAAATGCATTTTATGAAACATTCCTACCTTTCCCCTTTGACTCCTGGAAGCCTTCTGAGTGTGTGTACTTGCGTATCTATATGTGGGATGTGTGAGTGTGTGCATGTGCGTGGGTGTGTCTGTGGGTGTATATGTGTGTGCTTTTGAGTGAGCACATACATTTTCGTGTGAGTGTGCATGTGTGTGTTCTTGGCAGGGGTTTCCTGCAGGGGAGGGGGCTGAGGTGGAGTGGAGGTGCTAAGGGGAGAGGAAGACCTCAGTCCTCTGAATCTTGGTGGCACCTTAGACTGCCCATGGCAAGTGCTCTGGAATGGGAGGGTCCAGGTAGGAGCCTCTGGCTTTGCTGCATATGCTTCATATTAAATGTCAGCTGTCCACGGGGTCTGCGGTGCTGTCATTAATATGGAGAAGTTATTACTGAGCCTGGAGCCGGCTCCTTGGGCTCATCCATGAATTTCAATTACACTGCGTGTCTACTCCAGGGCCTGTGGATTGGAGCACTTCTGCTTGGAGGCAGAGGAAACTCTGGCATCCAGGACTTTAGGCCCAGGCAGTGCCAAAAGACCAAGTGGACCTGGTGCTGCCCTCCCTGGCCCTGCACACTTCAGTGATTAGCACGGGGAGCAGTGGACTTAGTGTGGGCTGGAGGCTGGAGTGTCACACTGTCTGCTCTGCCCCACGCATGCAGGTGACCTGGACAAGTGCCCCATCTCCCACTGAACTGATTGTATTGGGGGTATCCATCCACACCCACCACAAACGATTTTGGAAGGATGGGTGCATGACAAGCCCTTCACCCAGGCCAGGGTTTGGGAAATGTTGGGCATTTCTGTATTTCTTTGGATCTAAGGATGCCATCAGTGAGAGGATGTACCAAGAAAGAGGGGATACTCCCAATTAAATCTTCCTTGGTGCCTTAGCTGCAGTCCTGCCAGGTGTTGGCACCAGCCACCCTGCC